CACCCACACACACACACACACACACACACACACACACACACACACACACACACACACACACATTTTAGTTCTTATTACTTTTTAAACTAACTTTTTAAACTACTTACATATATTTGAATTTTAGAGTTGTACTTTATAATTGCCACAACTATTTTTTTTCTCTCAGAGTATAGAATGCCATAATTGATGAAAGAAATTTATCTTTTTCGCGCGAGTTAAGACTTTAACGAATTGTTATTAAGTATTAAGCATTTCGTCGGGAACGAAAATAGTTGTTATATAAGATTATAAACTTGCTTTACAGCGAAGCATGATACTTCACAGTTTAAGTGTATTTAATCGTAAAGCAGCCTCTTTCTCTCGAACGTATCGAACTTTTCGCCGGTGTTTAAAATTCCATCCGGCAAGGGTGAATATTATCAATAATAAAATCGCAAAGTTTCTAATTAAGTCGCTTACTAATTTTTCGTAAATTGGCAACAATATTTCGTTAACGAAGCACGAATGTTTCGCGATTAATTCGCCACAAGTTGTGCGAACGAGGGAATTAATAGTAAAGAGAGTATTAGCAATAATCAACAGTTTACTGGGGCTGCAACAGTCAGTTCCCAGAGGAAAGTTCGCGTTTTATTAGCTGATCAGACACAAAAAATTAAATCGAACGGGGACGAGGAATTGTGATAAGATGAACACAATTAGCCGAATAATTTCAACGATTGCAATATGCCGGAATGAAACCTTTGAATAATTTCATACCTGTAATTTAGCATCGTTATGAAAGTATCTTATTGAGAAGTAAATGAAGTTACTTCACGTGCAGACATATCTGTAAAATTTGGATTTGTGACGACCGTTTTTTTAGCTGAATCTGTTTTCAGTATGCGTTTACAAGTGATTTATATCTTAATCTTATAAAAATAAAAGTTTTAAAAATATTATATATTATTATATACATTTATTTATGAAAGTAAAAAAAAAGTTCTGAATAAATAATATCTTATGAAGAATGGAAGAAGCATTCCATTTTGTACGCATATATAAATGTAGCTCGCGTTTTAATGATTTTTCACTGAAAATAGTTTCTGGTTATAATATGAAAAGTTTTATAACTAGAATTTTAGTTATGAAACTTTAAAATTTGATAAACACGTTTGTGTAAAATATTTGCGTAATATAATATAAAGAAAGATAAACGCGAGTATTTTATTCAAATTAATTCTCCGGCTTCTGCTTCCTTGTAAATTTCAAAGTTTTTTCAAAATTTAGATTACGAAAGGTTGAGTAATATTGATCGATATGGAGCAAGGATTGTTTAAAATATTAGATCGTTGTGGCAACTAACTTCAGTTAATAACCTACGCGTAACATCTCTATGTGAAAAATAGAGACAATATTGTTTGTGGGTTATTATGCATTTTGTTGTGTAGCTGCTGTTTATGTCGGCACGGAGTTAACTTCACTAATCAATAACATCATTAAGGATGTATTAGACATATTTTGAAAACATTCAAAAAATTATGAAAAAATTACAGTTTTATTAGGTGTTGGAATTAATTCGTAGCGTTTTACA